CCCGAGTAGCTGAGATTACAGGTGCATGCCACCATGCCTGGCTAACAAAAACATTTTGAAAAGGGTGAAATAAATCATGCACAAACTGAGGAAAAATACTGTTTTCAAAAATGATGGAGAGGATCACTATGATGATGATTCCACTGGTCACATTATTGATAGAACAATCAGTAAGTCCAGTCACATCCTGGGGATACTACTGGATTCCTATTACTAAAATATGAAAAAATGGAGGCACGTAAATTACTTGTTTAAGCGTATAACGGACTGAATTAGAATTTTATCACACCACAAGTGGGTTCCTAGGTCTCTGTTTCAGGATTCTTGAGTTACACAGGTGTAAACCTGCCATTTCAGGAGATACCCTGTTAAGAATCTGGTCCAGGAGGTGGGCTGGTCCTTGACATGGATCAGTCATAAATTAGTGGTTTGGTACTCCAGGAAGATAAAATCTTTCCCGTTTGTCTAGTGATTGACAATGCGCGCATGCTTTAAAAGTTACAGTAAGCGTCCCTGGGTGGGCTCGAACCACCAACCTTTCGGTTAACAGCCGAACGCGCTAACCGATTGCGCCACAGAGACAAGTGCTTTCGAACTTACTAGGCGATACAGGAAGGGCGCACTCACTAAACTTCCTCCTTTCCTTCTATTCTCAGGGCCCGCCCGGCAGGACGACTGAGCAAGGCCTTGGAAAACCAGGGAGATCAGAGCGGTGAGTCGCGCTGGTCACGTTGGACACCTGCGCGTTAGGAGATTTTGGAGCCAGAGGGAGAGCCGAATGGCCTTCGCCCGCCTTGCCCCTCTCCTTCCTCAGAAGCCCCCAGAAACTCCCCGGTCGGCGACCCAGCCCGAGCCGCCTGGGGTCCCAAGGGAAGCTGAACGCCCGGTGGGCTCCCGGGATGGCTCTTCCCGTTCTCTGCGCCGCCTTCACCCAGTGAGGGAGCCTGTGCCCACCCCGCCCAGTCGCTTGCGGGGCCGCTGCGGAGCTGCCGCTGCCATCTTCGGATCCTGTGTCCCGCACGGGGGCTCCACCAGGGCAGGGATGGTGGCGAGGGTCGCTCGTGGGTCCCCTTGCAGGGAGCAGAGTCTGGCACTCACCAGGGCGCCCGACTAGGACTTGCCGAATGAATCCATCGTCGCCTTTAGCTTTTAGTCCTTTGAAGAACCCTGAGAGTGGAAATCAAGAGATATTTTCCGTGGGGAAGTTCTGTTTACAAAGCGTTGATTTCTCGGCACCCCGCGGGGCGGGCAACTGGCAGGGCCTCCAGTGCACCTTCTGCGCGGTGGAGCCGCGGGGACTCAGCTGGGCGGTGGTCTGGTCCTGGGGCCGTAGAGCGGGAGCAGCGGAAGGGAAAAGCAAAAGCTGGGAAAGAAGCCGGGGAGCGGCGGACCAGACATCCAGACCTCCTGAAAGGCTCGTGCAGAGGCACAGGCGGGATCTTCTGGAAGTGAGAATTGTTTTTGTTTGTTTATTTATTGTAGCAGAATGGGGAAATGGAGAGAGAATCCGAAAGAGCCCCAAACTCGAGGACCTGTTGCTCCCCAAGAATAACATCTTCCAGAACTAAACAGAAAACTAGGCGTCTGGGAACCCTGAAATCCTTGGAAGAGTAGCATCATCATGACCCTCTGTGTTCATTTTGGCAAAGGACTTGCTTCCATTGTTTGTTTGTTCAATTGTCTGTTTGCTAAATAAATAAAACCCTTTTCATGTATCTTTAAAATTATGTTGGTTCCATTATTTTATGATTACAAATAGTGCTGCAGGCATCATTCTTGTACACTTCTCATTGCCCACTGGTATATTTCTATAGGGTGGAGGCCTGGAGAGCAGTTGTTCCAGGATAGTGTTTAAAAAGCTTTAATTCAATCACATTTCCTTCCCTTGGTGCCTTAATAACCAAAAACCCTTTCCTAATTCAAGGGCCGCCTTAAGGGTTCCGGGAAAAAACCTTAAATTAACAAAAGCCGCCTTCAAAGGGCAATAAAACCCCCTTTCCGGCCCTTAACCCAAGGGTAAGAAATTTTAACTTAAGCAATGAAAACCTTGGGAATCAATAATAATAACTTTAATTAATAAGGCAAAAAATTTAAAAAAAATTAAAATAAAAAAAAAAGGGGAAGAAAAGCCTTCCAAAAGCCCGTTCCAAAAATGGGTTCCTTGGAAAAGGCCAAAATTTTATCAAGGATCCTTTTGCTTCTGCCTGGAGGACTCTTAAGATTTCTTGTAGCGTGGGTTGGTGAATTCTTTTAGCTTTTGTATGTTTTTCACTGTCCTTATTTCACAGTTTTGAAATTTTAATTTTGCATAGAATTCTAGGTTAACTTTTTTCTCAAGGTACTTTAAAAATGTTGCCATTAATGAAGCATTGGCATTATAGTATCTTTCTTTCCTGTGTTTGTAAAAATGGCATAAAACCGGTTTCTTGTGCTGATTATATAATTTTCAGAAAGTGTATTTAAATTAAAATATTAAATTTTACTAAAAAACTAAAAATATTAATCATGAATGTCCTAGATTCATCTTAAATTCCACCAACAATGCGCTTAAAATGTGCCCAACCTGAGAGTCAAACCTACCTGCTGACGTGTAATTTGTGTTTGTGAGACATTCTCAACAGCATTTGCTTTCCCCAGCCGAGTGATTTTCCTCACATCTGAATGTCTTCAGTGCAAAAGGAAACATTTTTCTTTGCAAAAATACTTGAAATTATTCTTACTTCAAGTAAGTGCATTAAATACAAACTTCTCAGTTGCATCCCTGGGATCCATCAAAAGCCTGGGAGTGACAATCAAGTCCTTCAAGATCAAGAGCTAAACAGGGGAGGACAAAGCGTGGCTTCTTCACTAGGAGTCAAGCCAAAGTCAACTGATTTGGTCTCCAGTGGAGACCAGAACTCGGTTCACCACCAACGTGAGGACCCGGCCCAGAGGAAGCGGACTTTCTCTTCGTGGTGCCTTCAGATAGGAAGTCTCCTAGGATTTCTTTCCTTCCCTTTGATCTACTTCCACCTCTCCCTTTCTATTTCTTCAAGACGTTTTTCGGATCCCTACTGCAAAGGACCTAAGGGGCTGGTGCCCTTCCCTACCGGTCCTTCCCTGGCTGGGTATCTTCACCCACGCTCACCCCGAACGTTACTGCCCACCAGAGACAGCGAGAGGACCAAGGAGGGCGGCGGGTGTGGTGGGAACCACAGAGTCACCTCGCACCTGTGTCTGGTGCGCTCCTAGCAAATTGAATAAATGCCCCCTGGAGCTTCTCTGCAGGTCACAGGGAAGGGGAGGGTGGCTGCCAACCTAGCAGGAGAAGCTTCAAGAAGCCTCGGGAGGACCTGGCCCTGCCCCTGCGCCTTGAAGACAGGCCTGGCCAAGTTGATTTTGACGGGTAGGCCCAAAGGAAAGGTTCAAGGGTGGCCCAAACCCCGACCCAGAGATTAAGGCTCTTAAATGTCTGACGGTTTTGAGACTCCTCATTAGAATCGATCCGGCCTGTATCAGGAGACTCCTTCCCCAAAATTCAGAGACCAAGAAAGAGAAAGATTAGGTAGATCAAAGTCTGTAATTAACCAACCAGGAAACAGAATTTTTCTGACAAATTGTATGTGTGCTATGAGAAAAAGACTAGCCTCAAGGAGAATCTGGTTTTTTGGCTTGAATGTAGGGAAGAATGGAGTTGCCACCAACAATGGTGTGTTGAAATGGCAGGTGCATCAGGATGTAGACGTCAAGGAATTAAAAATATTTTACCCCAAAATACATTTCTTTGACATATTTTGAGATGTCTGTTTAGAAAGCCAGCTGCAGACGTAGCCCTGCAAAGTTGTCTTTTGTTGGAGAGATTTGCATCTGTAGGGAGTCTGCATTGACGCAGCCAAGTCTTTCTTTGCCCAGATCTAGGAAAGATGAACTGAAAGTCTGACACCTGTAAAGGTCTGAAAGAAACTTTTAGGGTTTATTCTCTCTGAGCGCTGCTACCTGTAAGGTTTCATTTACATATTAAGACCAACTTTGCTAGCCAAGCCTCCTCTTCTCTCCCTCCCATAACCTGTCTTTCCCACAATAAACGGATATACCTCTGACTCTGATGGTACCTGGTTTTGGCCATGCTTTGAGCTCTCATTCATTCTGTTACCTTGAGATGGTATATAAGCTTCTGCATCCCATTGTGGGTAGGGTAGGGTAATCACTCTGTGACTCTCCCCATGTACATGTTAGTACATTTTATGCCTTTTCTCCAATTAATCTGCCTTTTGTGACTTGATTTTTGAGTGAAACTCCAGAGGGTTAAGAGGGGGTTTCCGTTGACCCCTGCAGTTTTGGAGCTGTAAGCAGGATAGCAAAGCTCTGCTCTTCTGGAAGCTGCAGTGAAGAACCCAGGATCTGATCAGCTGTCATAAGGGTAAGATTTTTTTTACCAGCCAGGCTCCCGGCCTCCTTCTCTATGTGGAATCTGTTCAAGTGGACAGGAAAAATCACTGTTTCTTTCTTTTCTCTCTCCAAAATCTTGATTAATGGGAGAAAAGGATTTGTGTGACTAGTCTTGGGTGTAGTGACTCTGGTGTGCTTTTTGGTACTTTGTGGTACCAATTCAAATTGTTTAATCCCTTTTTTCCCAGAAATTGTCTGTTCCTTTGTCTTTGTCTCTATGTGTTATTCTGTCATAAAAGGGGGTACTGGTTGAGGTTCCTTCTCATCTTATTTGATGTCCTTCAGAGCTTGACTTGTGACCAAGTGGGAGCACTTTCTCTTGGTTTTCGGTATCTGGAAAGAGGTGGTAATTTTCAGGTCATAGTAGATGGCCTGTCTGAAAATGGCTGGGAATGTGAGCACACTGTTTGCTCTGACTATGTCAAGCTCTTGGGATTTGTCTTAAGAAATCCCATCCCTTCAAGGCTTTTGTCGTCTCAACTTTTGTTGCCTGGTTAGTCCTAGGAAAGCTCAATCCCAAGAGGACCTACCTGGTATAACAGATTCACAGGTCTGTGACTGGAAGCCCCCACAAATGTACGGGTTACTGGAGGCAAACATCATCCTTAACCATCTGTGGCCTACTCCTTGCATTGAACTTTTTTCTTGGAGGGCAATCTTTGGGATTGCCTCTTGTATGACCTTCCCAGGAAGTTAACCTGGAAAATGACATCCTGGGCTTTCCACAAAGAGGCTATTTGGTTGAATTGCTTTTGGAATAATTACACCATTGGAAATTCTAGTTGGCAGTGGATTGAAGATGGATCCGTTAGACACCTGAATTTAAAAAAAAAAAGATTTTAGAGATCTCTTATTTTAAACAGTTGATAGGAAGATCAAATTTAAAGAAAGGCACATACTAGTGCCATGGCTACCCTTAGAAATTCTCTTGACAATATTATCTGTGTTGTGTAGGGAAAAAAATTCTCTTGACTAAATGAAAGAACAAAATTTGACCCAAAACAAAGTTAAAATTCTTCATAAGCTTAAACTGCCTGCTCTGGATCCCTTCCAGGATTCACAGTAAAGTCTGCTCTACCTTGCAATTCAGTACTTAAAGTTCTGTGCTTTTGCTGCCATAGCCTGGGTTCAATTTCCAGTCAGGGAACCAGTTTATTTTGGCTGGATATTTGTGGGACTTTTGACTTTTTGGAATACCCATTTATTGATCCTTTTCCTTTTCATGGGCAGCTTTTGTTTGTTTGTTTGTTTGTTTATTATGATGGAGTCTCACTCTATCACCCAGGCTGGAGTGCACTGGTGCGATCTTGGCTCACTGCAACCTCTGCCTCCCAGGTTCAAGTGATTCTCCTACCTCAGTCTCTCAAGTAGCTGGGCCATGCCTGGCTAATTTTTGTATTTTTAGTAGCGACAGGGTTTTGCCATGTTGGCCAGGCTGGTCTTGAGCTCCTGACCTCAAGTGATCCACCCGCCTCAGCCTCCCAAAGTGTTAGGATTATAGATGTGAGCCACCGCTCCTGGCTGTTGGCAGCTTTCGATTTCCTGTCCTTCCAGCTTCCAAAGTTTCTGATGAGAAACCTGTTGATAATCTTATTAAATATTTATGGCATATGACCAGTTGCTTTTCTCTTATCAATTTAAAGATTCTCTGTTTTTGACTTTTGAAAGTTTGATTATAATGTGTTTTGGTGTAGGTCTCTCTATCTTACTTGGGGTTTGTTAGGCTACTGTGTTTGTATTCATGTCTTTCATCAAATTTGGAAACTTTTCAGCCATTATTTCTTCAACTATTCTCTCTTGACCTTCTCTCCCTCTTCTTTAGAAATTCCACAATGTAAGGCTGAGTGCGGTGGCTCATGCCTGTAATCCCAGCACTTTGGGAGGCCGAGGTGGGAGGATCACCTGAGGTCAGGAGTTTGAGACCAGCCTGACCAACATGGAGAAACTCCGCCTCTACTAAAAATACAAAATTAGCCAGGCATGGTGGTGCATGCCTACAATCCCAGCTTCTCGAGAGACTGAGGTGGGAGAACCGCTTGAACCCAGGAGGCAGAGGTTGTGGTGAGCTGAGATCGTGCCATTGCATTCCAGTCTGGGCAGCAAGAGTGAAACTCCGTCTCCTCACCCCCCTCCCCCAAAAAACAACAACAACAAAAAAGAAATTCCACAATGCATATGTTGTCCACTTGATGGTCACTTAGGCTCTACTCACTTTTCTTCAATCTTTTTTTATTTCTGTTCCTCAAACTGGATGATTTCCATTGCCTTATCATCGGGTTCACTGATTGTTTCTTCTGCC